CAGAACCCCTCCGTCAAACAGACTCAGGTACAAACACTAGTGCAGAGGGCACTTCATGTCAAAAAGCCTTTTTTATGCATTGTAGGTGTTGATCCAACCAAATGAAATCACAAGCCTGACTTTGTGATAGGTTGTGTTCATCCTCAGCAGTGAAGCAGATTCACTCCTCCGAGTTGAAACTGCTTTTTTTAATTGGATGAGTCATTTCGGTGTTGTTCACACCTCTGCTTCCTCACCCTGCATGAGGAAAAATGTCCTAAAATAGTACCTCTATGACTCTTTTCAGTTCGCCGTCTGGTTCTTTTCCCATGCTGATGCAGCTTCCAAATGGTCAGACTGTTCCTCTGCTGCCCAGTCCAGGGCAGACTTCAGTCATATCGGTATGGATTTTATTTGTAGTAATATTACAATTAGTATTAGTCTTATTAGTGCTGGTGCTTTAAGGAAGTTGAATTAAATGACACACATTTTTGGAAAGGATTTTATCAAGCTGAAATTGTGCAGTACAGTTAACAACTCTCTGAGAATTTGCTTCCTTAAATTAATTCCTTTTAAATCATTGCCACTACAGCCAAGAAATTTTTTTTTTGTGTCAAATGTATTGGCTTTATTTAATAAAAGGTTGTAGTTATAATTTTATAGTATTTATTCCTATTTTGAATTGACTTTTGTTTGATATTGTCACTTTTCTTAGTTTTTTATATTTAAATTTTTTCAGTTTTAGTAATTGTAGAATTTAATTTAGAATTTATTTAATCTTATTTTATTTTTAATTCGTAGCCAGGATAACATTTTTACATTTCTAACATTTATAATATGTATTCATCAAATATTTATATTACATCTCTAACAGTAGTTAACAGTAAGTTATTTAGCTCAAATATTTGTGGAATATCTGTTACCCTTATGGAGGAATGTGTGTTCTTGCACTCTGTGTTGTTTTTAACAGTTTTTTTCCAACTTCTTGCACCATCAGCATGTCAAGTTAAAAATAGTTAAAAATTTATGCATTCCACTGCACTCTGTACAGCTGTTTTTTAATGCAAGAATACATCTAATGTGTTGAACATAAAATCAGTCGTTTTAATTATACAGATGGCCTTAAAGACAACTGACTAAATTAATATGAAAATATATTGTACATCTGCACTTGTGAAAACCTCCCACAGACATATATCATTCTTAAATCAAAACAGTAGCAATTACTATTACCTTTACAGTATCTGTGATGACATTTTCAGCAGTATGACCCTCAAAACAAGCTCACATCTGTTTTGTATTTGTGTCTATGCTTTGTGTTTATAGTATGGTAAGCTTGTGTTGTTATGTGTATATATATATATAGCTTGCCAGATCATCAAACCCAGTGCCCAATATCCCAGGGATTCCAGGCCCTCCTATTGGTGGGAGCAGCAGTGGCTCCTCCTCTCCGTCTGGATACAGTACACACTCTGATGCCAAGACGGTGAGAATGCGCGCACATACACCCACGCTAGCACACGCAGTGTTTACTTGGGTATAAATGCTTAACAATGGGCTTATTATGTAACGATTAACTAACTAAAAAATGTAACACTCAGGTTTTGAGCATTAAATTACATGTTGTGGTGTTTCCTTGTGTTTGTGTATGGGATCTGTCTCCATCTAGAGGCTAAAAGCAGCACTTTCTCAGCAGAGTCCTAGTGGACCAGCACCAATACAAAAAACAGATCAGACTGAGACACCATCACCTGCTCAACCACAGGTGCTCACAGACATCTCATGCCTGTGTTACATATATGCTAGTATTTGCCTGTTCTTTTGAATAGGGTTTGTGACATAAATAAATAGTTAAATTAATAGGTTAAATGGGATATCTTCTAGTAAATAAGCTCAACTAAAGCATTATATATCAGTATACACTATTTTACTGTTGTCATATGCTTGCGTTCTCAATGTATTTGACAGCTCAAGCAATATTTTTCAGGTGTCCCCTGCGCCACCAAAAGGAGGCCGCAGACGACGAGGAGCAGATATTGAGCCGGATGAGCGCAGGCGCCGTTTTCTTGAGCGGAACAGAGCTGCTGCTTCCCGTTGCCGGCAAAAACGGAAAGTGTGGGTCAGTGCCCTGGAGAAGCGCGCTGAGGAGTTAGCTACTGCTAACGTCACGCTCACTGTGAGTCAGACGGACAGGGTGAAAAGATACAGGAAATAAAGTGATTTTGATTAATTGTGCATAATGTTGTTGAAATTTTCGCTACTGTTTGGGGTCAGTAAGGTTTTTTTTAAAAAGTACTTTTATTCAACAAGGATGCTTGAAATTGGTCAGAAGTGACAGTAAAGAATTTTACATTCTTAAAAAAAAATCAATTTCAAATAAATGCTGTTCTTTTGATTTTTCTATTCATACAAGAATCCTGAAAAAAAGGTATCACGGTTTCCACAACAGTATTAAGCGGCATAACTGTTTTCAACATTGATGATAATAATAATAATAAATGTTTCTTGAGCACTAAATCAGCATATTAGAATGATTTCTGAAGGATCATGTGACACTGAAGACTGGAGTAATGGCTGCTGAAAATTCCGCTTTGCCATTACAGAAATACATTACATTTTAAAATATATTCAAATATTAAACAGATATTTTAAATTCTAATTTAATTATACTTTACAATTTCACTATTTTCAGAATTGGTGAGATCTCTTAAAAAACATTACAAAATCTTACTAACCCCAAATTGTGGTACAGTATATTTGTATTTTTGATCATGCCGTTGTTTGAGCCAATGTTGCTGTGTCCAGCTGGTCAGACACTTTTTGGGGGAATACACTTATTAATGGCTTTCTTCTTATTGTATCTGCATATTAAGCAGACATGGAATATCCAAAAATGACCTTCATGCACTTTGATAAGACCTTCTTGACACAGTCGTGTAAATGTGCTTGACAGAGTGAAGTTTCCCTGTTGAGGACTGAGGTGACACATCTGAAGGAGCTGCTGTTGGCCCATAAGGACTGCCCTGTTACTGCCATGCAGAAAAAAGCATATCTCGGTAGATCATCTGTTAATCATCATCATTCTCCTCCCACAGGTCCAACATATTTTCTTTATTTGTCCGAAATGCCTTATACGTAACATTCATCCTTCCCCCGTTTCTCTCCCTTCAGCTGCAGGAGTGGATGAGAGTTCAGTGGCGGCGTTGGTGATGCCCGTGTCGGTACCGGCTCCGGTGTCGGTTAACGGTCTGAGCGTGCGTGCGGCAGAGGCTGTTGCTGTTTTAGCGGGAATGGGCTCGGGCCAGTGGAGTAACACAGCTGGAGATGCTTCCTCCCAATCGCAGCCCACATCCAGATGATGAGCATGTTGTTCAGCCAATGGGAACTAAATATACTTTCAAAGGAGCGAATCGCCCTTTTCCCCTCAAAACTGTCAGTCCTGGTGTGTTTGTAAATGCTCTCATGTGACAAATGGGAACCAATGTTACCACGCTCTGACCACACCCTGCTCACCCGTAGCCTATCACAGACCCTCCCCGGGCTAAGTAGTGACATCATAGGACGCCCCTGTCAGACTGCACAGACTCGGAAGCACTGCAGTGGAAATTAAGTCTCTTCTGTCATCTCTATAAAATACACCTTTACATATACTTGTATAGATCTTCTCACTAATGCATTGAGTTGATATTTGTCTTGTTTGCAGACATTTTTAATTATTTTGCTTTGTATTCAATGGTTTTTCTAATATAATGATTCGTTGCATGATTCTGGCCACAGTAGAAAGATGATTACTACACTATGCAGATAAGTTTAACACCTTTTTTCTCAGTCTCTCTAGGTGACGCTATCTCACACATACTTGCTTTTTCCATTTCTCGCTCTTCCTCTCTGTCTTAATTTTATTGTGATTTCTAAATTAATTTCTCTCAGGTCCGTGCTTCTGTGGCTGTTTTGGTGAAGATCGTGTCTCTCACATTAGCGTAACCTGGTGCTGCAGAATGAACTCGCAAAAGCTTAAGAATGCAGAGAAAATATATTTTTATATTTGAATATCGTTATTGGTTTGTCTGCATTTTGCAATATATATATATATATATATAGGGTATCTGTGGGTAGCGTAACCACGTGGACATGTTTTAGATCAGTAATGATTATGATATGCTCTGCTGAATTATAGGTATCTTTAACCAAAATACATAAATCCTTTTGCATTAGAGGTTAGACGCCAAAATTGAAGTGCATCTGGTCTCATAACAGGGAACACGCGCACAAAAACTCACGCGTAATGACTTGTGCTTGCGTTTTGTGAATGTACAGTAGTTAACTAACCCGGCTATGAATGTGAAGTCTCGTTTCAAAATGGTTGAAATGCTTTTGAATAAGTGATTGGATGGTGTTATAGAAATAAAACATTATTTATTTCTTGGGGCCCGAAAGACTCACACTTGGCCACCCTGAATCTGGTGCGCATAACTAACACATAACTTATTGAGTTGTATTCCATTAAACAGTTCATGCCTGATCACTTTTTTTTAATGGGATAATGTGTTAATTTAAGCATGGCGTTTATATCAAAACTGTTGCAGTTTTTTTAAAATTCAGCTTTGAATATCTGTTTGTTTTTGTTTTTTAGATAGAAGCTCATTTCTACATAAAAAAATCATGCAGTGATAAATCATGCCTTTGATATAAAAGTAAAGAATATGAGATACAGAGTCATAATTATAAGATACAAAGTCAAAATTAATGCATAAAAAGCCATTGTGACAAAATTGAAACTTAAAAAAATAAAATGTAAAGTTTTTGAATGACGTAAAAACATTACAGACTAACTAAAGTTGAAAAAGTGAAAAAGCATAATAGGACCCCTTTAACCATTGAAGTGTTTGAATTCAAGATACTGCATTAGATAAAGATTCCCTCTCACCACACCAGAGGGAGCAAAATCGCCGCGGCTTCAGACACGGGCTCAGACTCCTCATCCCGAGCGCTGGTCACGTGACTCTTCCCATCGGCTGGGATTTCTCTCTCGGCATGGCGGAGATGATGGAGCTTGGTCTGGTGTCTAATACCATTTGTTTTTCACTGTGAGGAGGACACTGGCATTTTTATTGTCGGTAAACCGTTCTGCGCAGTTCTTCCCCCCCGGTTTCGGCCCATAATGGCGGAGCACGGTGTGGATGTGTCCGCTCTCCCCCAAGAGGTCCGGGAGCAGCTCGCTGAGCTGGACCTGGAGCTGTCGGAGGGTAAGCCTTTAAACAACAACGGCTCTTCCTTCCTTGTTTCAATGCGTGCATTTATATGTACTAATTGACAGGCTCAGTCTTGCATCCTCAATAAGAGCATCCACACACACAGGTTCCGGCCTTTTATTGTTTTAATAGCTGAATAATGTGTTATGACAATATTAACACATTTGTATGAATAGTAACAGTTGTCACTATCAAAATAGTGCTGTAAAATATGATGGAATTGGATATGTTACCATGCTAATGGCATGTACAGTATACAGTATAATTCTCCCTCTCTAGGGCTGTGCATTTACTTCTTATTTTACTTCTGAAAAGTGACATATTTTAAAGATATTCAATAACAAATTTGAGATTTTTTTTTAGAAATCTATCTTTTGTACAGAAATCTTAATTTGAATTAGGCTTAATATTTTTCTAAATATCCTTACAAATAAAATATACATACATTTATAAAATATGTTTTGCAACATTTCTCCTGGGCCAGCAGGAAAAAAACATGGTTATTATTATTGAGCCCTGTAAATTATACAAATAGTTTTAAATTGTAATAAAAATATCCTTACACATAATATACATATGATAAAAAGTCCTTAAAATAAAATAATAATAAATCAAAATATCCTTGCAAATAATATGTATTTGGGATGCACGATATTATCGGACTGATATCGGAATCGGCCGATAATGGCTTTAAATGTAAATATCAGCATCCCCCGATATGAAAAATTATGCTGATATGTCTTTCCGATAAGAGGAATACATTACCTCACATTTGCTCAGGGTGTGCTAGCGATTAGATCACATCAGCAGTGTGACTTATTTTTGAAGCAAAGTTTTGTCTGAATGATGATTAGATTCACTAGATGATTGATTAGTTTTGGATCGCTGCATTTAAACTGAGAATACACGTGCAGAATGATGCGTTCTGTGTGTGATAGAGTAAACAGCAATAGCACGTGCAGCGGCAGCGGCAGCGGCAGCTGCCCCCGGGTCCCAACGCCCGTTCGGTAAGTAGTTTTAATCTGTAGGGGGCACTGTTGGCCTACTTCTAATCAAATTAAAAGTAAAATAGCCTACACAAATAACATTTAGACTGTGTTTTTGATTAAATAAAGCAGCAATTGATGTAATAAAATAATGAGTATGTTTTGATTTAAAGGTCAGAAGCTGTAGCTTACATGAAAAAAAAATCACATACATGACACTTGTAAATTAAATAATTTTATATATATATTGATTTATTCATGAATGTGTAATACGTTTTATTTTTAAAACAAATCATAAGCTCTAAAAGATTTTCAGAATTTTTACAACTCTTTTGCTTTAGACCATCTACAAATGTTAAATCTTAAAATAAAATGTTAGGGATAACACTGCATCTTCCTGGGGGAAAAATGCAGCGATTGATATATAGTTTATTTTCAAAGCTTCAATGTACTGTCAAAAAACCTTAATTATTGTTGATTTAATTCTAATAAATAAGTTCTTGTTAAAAACTAACCAAAATGTAAAATATTTTGCTTAGAATTTCTGCACAGGAGAGACTTGGTGTTGTTTCCAAACAAAAGGAAATATATCGGTATCGGCCAAAATGAGTTGAAAAAATCGGCATATCGGACATTGGCAAAAATCCAATATCGTGCATCCCTAATATGTATACATTTTAAAAAAACATTTAAGAAACATTTCTCTTCATGGGCCAGCAGACAAAACATTCTTTTTGTCAAGCCCTGTAAATTATACAAATACTAGGCTTTATACAAATAGGCTTAATATTAAATACAAAATATCCTTGCATATAATATGCATACATTTAAAATATGTTGCTAAAATTGCTACATTTCTACTGGGCCAGCTGAAAAAACTTTCTTATGGTCGAGTCCTGTAAATTATACAAATATGCTTAATATTTCATTTAAAAAAATGAAGAGTTTGGTTCCAAAAAGCGATAAGCGCCATTTAAAAGAAAAATTGTATTGTATCTGGTCGGTATTGAAAAGTTCATTTTTAATTTTACGCAAAATGCGATATCCGCCGAGTTATTCTGTCATGTTTTCGCCCTTTCTTTCCAAACCGCGACAAACGCCAGTCTCCCTTCTCTGCAGAATGCGATATATCCACTCAACCAATCACAGCGCACCATTCCACGCACTCTAGACAAGGGGTTTTCAACCTGTGGGGCGAGCCCCCCCAGGGGGGCGCCAGCACCTGTCAAGGGGGGCGCGAGCATCAGTTAATTCAGAGACGTTCCCTTTGAGAATTTATGAATATGAGTTAACAAATCTTTAGCCATCCACTAGGGGGCAATCTGACTCCCACTGCTAGTCGACAGTTAGAGCAGAGTTGGCTCGAGTATCAGTCACGCTCAGTGTTGCCAAGTCCGCTGGTATATGTTTACAGTACACAAGCCACGGTTAAGACAGCTGACTCCACTGTGATGTGACGCTGTCTCTCTCTCTCTCGCTCGCTCTCTCTCTCGCTCTCTCTCTCGCGCTCTCTCGCTCTTTCTCGCACACACACACACACACACACACACACACACACACACAATGTCAGTCCCGCTCAGTGTTGCCAAGTCCACTGGTATATGTTTACAGTACACAAGCCACGGTTAAGACAGCTGACTCCACTGTGATGTGACGCTGTCTCTCTCTCTCTCTCTCGCTCTCTCTCGCTCGCTCTCGCTCTCTCTCTCGCGCTCTCTCACTCTCTCTCGCGCTCTCTCTCTCTCTCTCTCTCGCTCGGTCACTTACACACACACACACACACACACACACAATGCGCAAAACTCCACATTTGAACAGCCAATAGCAAATACTTAAACTAAGATTGTCAGATTGTCATAGCAAAGTCAGAATTGCCTCCTCTCCTAGGTTCACAAAACGGTCGTCCATAAAATGCATTGCTGTTCTGTTGTAAGTAATCTCAAAG